ATACTAATGTAATGTAGAGGTCATTGTTGTCATACTGTCGGTCAGTGTCATACTAATGTAATGTAGAGGTCATTGTTGTCATACTGTCGGTCAGTGTCATACTAATGTAATGTAGAGGTCATTGTTGTCATACTGTCGGTCAGTGTCATACTAATGTAATGTAGAGGTCATTGTTGTCATACTGTCGGTCAGTGTCATACTAATGTAATGTAGAGGTCATTGTTGTCATACTGTCGGTCAGTGTCATACTAATGTAATGTAGAGGTCATTGTTGTCATACTGTCGGTCAGTGTCATACTAATGTAATGTAGAGGTCATTGTTGTCAAACTGTCGGTTAATGTCATACTGTTGTAATGTAGAGGTCATTGTTATCATACTTTCGGTCAATGTCATACTGATGTAATGTAGAGGTCATTGTTGTCATACTGTCGGTCAGTGTCATACTGTGGTAATGTAAAGGTCATTGTTGTCATACTGTCGATCAGTGTCATACTAATGTAATGTAGAGGTCATTGTTGTCATCCTGTCGGTCAGTGTCATACTAATGTAATGTAGAGGTCATTGTTGTCAAACTGTCGGTTAATGTCATACTGTTGTAATGTAGAGGTCATTGTTATCATACTTTCGGTCAATGTCATACTGATGTAATGTAGAGGTCATTGTTGTCATACTGTCGGTCAGTGTCATACTAATGTAATGTAGAGGTCATTGTTGTCATACTGTCGGTCAGTGTCATACTAATGTAATGTAGAGGTCATTGTTGTCATACTGTCGGTCAGTGTCATACTAATGTAATGTAGAGGTCATTGTTGTCATACTGTCGGTCAGTGTCATACTAATGTAATGTAGAGGTCATTGTTGTCATACTGTCGGTCAGTGTCATACTAATGTAATGTAGAGGTCATTGTTGTCATACTGTCGGTCAGTGTCATACTAATGTAATGTAGAGGTCATTGTTGTCATACTGTCGGTCAGTGTCATACTAATGTAATGTAGAGGTCATTGTTGTCATACTGTCGGTCAGTGTCATACTAATGTAATGTAGAGGTCATTGTTGTCATACTGTCGGTCAGTGTCATACTAATGTAATGTAGAGGTCATTGTTGTCAAACTGTCGGTCAGTGTCATACTGTTGTAATGTAGAGGTCATTGTTATCATACTGTCGGTCAGTGTCATAGTAATGTAATGTAGAGGTCATTGTTGTCATACTGTCGGTCAGTGTCATACTAATGTAATGTAGACGTCATTGTTGTCAAACTGTCGATCAATGTCATAGTAATGTAATGTAGAGGTCATTCTTGGCATACTGTCGGTCAATGTCATACTGAGGAATGTAGAGGTCATTGTTATCATACTGTCTGTCAATGCTATACTAATGTAATGTAAAGGTCATTGTTGTCATACTGTCGGTCAATGTCATACTGATGTAATGTAGAGGTCATTGTTGTCAATCTGTCGGTTAATGTCATACTGATGTAATGTAGAGGCCATTGTTGTCATACTGTCGGTCAATGTCATACTAATGTAATGTAGAAGTCATTGTTGTCATACTGTCGGTCAATGTCATACTGATGTAATGTAAAGGTCATTGTTGTCATACTGTCGGTCAGTGTCATACTGTGCTAATGTAGAGGTCATTGTTGTCATACTGTCTGTCAAAGTTATACTAATGTAATGTAGAGGTCATTGTTATCATACTGTCGGTCAGTGTCAAACTGATGTAATGTAGAGGCCATTGTTGTCATACTGTCGGTCAGTGTCATACTAATGTAATGTAGAGATCATTGTTATCATACAGTCGGTCAATGTCATACTAATGTAATGTAGAGGTCATTGTTATCATACAATCGGTCAGTGTCATAGTAATATAATGTAGAAGTCATTGTTATCATACTGTCGTTCAGTGTCATAATAATGTAATGTAGATGTCATTGATGTCATACTCTCGGTTAGTCTCTTACTTATGTAATGTAGATGTTATATTTTTCACGGAGAGGAAGTATCTTCTTGTGGTGTATAACGTTCACACTATCACACATTAGGTGTACAATCGATGAACAAGGACGAGAGCGAAAACTACGAAACCAAATCGATTCGCCAGAAACTATCTCCTTTTGATATCCAATTGACTTCTAGGTTAGAAGGCTAACATCTGCGATAAACTCATAACAGAACCGGATTTGTTGAACTGTATCTTACTGATAACTTGTAAATGTATCAAGCTTTTAAGATTATAGTACTTACGGCCTGGTAATAATAGTTGGGGCCGTTCAATATGACGGCAGATTAATTGCGTTATACGTAAAAAAAAAACTTTCCAATACTGAGGTAACGGTATTGACAAAATTAGAGAAACGAACCCTGTTGTTACTGATTGTAGCAAAAACAGGACCACACTGTTGTTACTCATTGTAGCAAATACAGGACCACACTGTTGTTACTCATTGTAGCAAATACAGGACCACACTGTTGTTACTCATTGTAGCAAATACAGGACCACACTGTTGTTACTGATTGTAGCAAAAATAGGACCACACTGTTGTTACTCATTGTAGCAAATACAGGACCACACTGTTGTTACTCTTTGTAGCAAATACAGGACCACATTGTTGTTACTCATTGTAGCAAATACAGGACGAAACTGTTATAGGTTTGTGTATGTAAGCACACTTACTGCTATTCCGTTACCACTTCCCGTCTATCTGTCTGTCTCTCCTTGTGTTTTTGTTTCGTTTTGTTATATGTTTTCTGTGTATTTTCTATATTTTTCTGTCGGTACAGAAAGGTTTATTTAGCTGATTGACGCTCTACATTTTAAATGTTACCGAACAAAAACAGTCTTTATTAACTTAAACGAGACAGACAACCGAAATGTTAGCCACTCATTTTACCTTCGGGCAGATTTAATAATCATGCTGACGTGTTGTATGTTCTGAGAATTGATCTCATCTGTGAGTTATTTCAGTATTGATATTGAGAAATTGTGTGCGGTGGTTTGTTTTATGGCGTAGTGCAGAGTAGAGAATAGGTCTGTCAAAAGTAAAACAATGATTTTGTGATTGTGAGGTTAGGGTTAGGGTTAGGATTAGGTAACCCTTACCTGATTGTAAGGTTAGGGTTAGGGTCAAGATTAGGTAACCCTAACCTGATTGTGAGGTTAGGGTTAGGGTTCGGATTAGGTAACCCTTACCTGAGTGTAAGGTTAGGGTTAGGGTCAAGATTAGGTAACACTAACCTGATTGTGGGGTTAGGGTTAGGATTAGGTAACCCTAACCTGATTGTGAGGTTAGGGCTAGGATTAGGTACCCTAACCTGATTGTGAGGTTAGGGTTAGGGCCAGGTAACCCTAAACTGATTGTGAGGTTAGGGTTAGGGTAAGGATTAGGTACCCTAACCTGATTGCGAGGTTAGGTTTAGGGTTAGGATTAGATAACCATACCCTGATTGTGAGCATTAGGTAACCATAACCTGATGGTGAGGTTAGGGTTAGGGTTAGGATAAGGTAACACCAACCTGATTAACCAAAACTTTCTTTAACGTTATATATTATACTGGTACACAGATACATCCTAGGCGTTATCTAAGCTCAGCGAAATAATAGGGGTGACTGACCAAAGTACAGTGTATAGTGACATACATGTAGAACTAGTTAATGCTCGTTACACGGTAGACAGTATTGTGAAGTGTTAACTTACACAGTACTTGTATATATGTATTGGTACAGAGCTGTATGCGTTAATTAACAAAGTACACGTATAGTGACATACAGGTAGAACTAGTTAATGCTCGCTACATGGTAGGCAGTATTGTATAGTGTTACCTTACACAGTACTTGTATATATGTATTGGTACACAACTGTACGTGTTAAATAACAAAGTCCACGTATAGTGACATACAGGTAGAACTAGTTAATGTTCGCTACATGGTAGGCAGTATTATAAAGTGTTACCCTACACAGTACTTGTATATGTGTACTGGTACACAACTGTATTTGTTAAATAACAAAGTACACGTATAGTGACATACAGGTAGAACTAGTTAATGTTCGCTACATGGTAGGCAGTATTATAAAGTGTTACCCTACACAGTACTTGTATATGTGTACTGGTACACAACTGTATTTGTTTAATAACAAAGTACACGTATAGTGAGATACAGATATAACTAGTTAATGCTCGCTACATGGTAGGCAGTATTATAAAGTGTTACCTTACACAGTACTTGTATATATGTATTGGTACAGAACTGTATGTGTTAAATAACAAAGTACACGTATAGTGGCATACAGGTAGAACTAGTTAATGTTCGCTACATGGTAGGCAGTATTATAAAGTGTTACCTTACACAGTACTTGTATATATGTATTGGTACAGAACTGTATGTGTTAAATAACAAAGTCCACGTATAGTGAAATACAGGTAGAACTAGTTAGTGTTCGCTACATGGTAGGCAGTATTATAAAGTTTTACCTTACACAGTACTTGTATATATGTATTGGTACACAACTGTATGTGTTAAATAACAAAGTACACGTATAGTGACATACAGGTAGAACTAGTTAATGTTCGCTACATGGTAGGCAATATTATAAAGTGTTACCTTACACAGTACTTGTATATATGTATTTGTACACAACTGTATGTGTTGTTACCTTACACAGTACTTGTATATATGTATTTGTACACAACTGTATGTGTTAAATAACAAAGTCCACGTATAGTGAGATACAGGTAGAACTAGTTAATGTTCGCTACATGGTAGGTGATTCATCTGCACATTGTACTAAGTTGTCTCCATTTAGATGGATGAATAAAAGTTCAATTAACTGTATATTGTGATCATTCTTTTCACCTTTAGATAGAGGACCAACAGTGAAACCACCTGTACCTGTAACTTATAAAGAGATCCTTTAGCTGTTTATTGTATCAGTCCTATGACATACAGCACGTCACCAAACAATCCTAAGTGGTACGTTAATAAAGTAAAAGTGTACTTACGAGAGAACAAACTTGTGGTTTGGCATTTAGTTCATAGCCTCAATGTCCTCCTTTTTCAGCTTGTTATCGTCTGCTGTAACAATAACGATATCGACATCACACTGTGAATTATACAGATCAGTATAAACAGGATTCCCTATACTTGTGCTTCTCTCATCTAGTCACATTACATACAAGGTTATCCCCATTCTAATGTTCTCATCTAGTTGCATTACATACAAGGTTATCACCATGTTAATGTTCTCATCTAGTTACATTACATACATGGTTATCCCATTGTTAGTGTTCTCATCTAGTCACATTACATAAAAGGTTATCCGCATGTTAGTGTTCTCATCTAGTCACATTACATACAAGGTTATCCCCATGTTGGTGTTCTCATCTAGTCACATTACATACAAGGTTATCACCATGTAAATGTTCTCATTTAGTCACATTACATACAAGGTTATCCCCATGTTAGTGTTCTGATCTAGTCACATTACATACAAGGTTATCTTCATGTTAGTGTTCTCATCTAGTCACATTACATACAAGGTTATCCCCATGTTAATGTTCTTATCTAGTCACATTACATACAAGGTTATGCCCATGTTAGTGTTCTCATCTAGTTACATTACATACAAGGTTATCCCCATGTTAATGTTCTCATCTAGTCACATTACATACAAGGTTATCCCCATGTTAATGTTCTTATCTAGTCACATTACATACAAGGTTATGCCCATGTTAGTGTTCTCATCTAGTTACATTACATACAAGGTTATCCCCATGTTAATGTTCTCATCTAGTCACATTACATACAAGGTTATCCCCATGTTAATGTTCTTATCTAGTCACATTACATACAAGGTTATGCCCATGTTAGTGTTCTCATCTAGTCACATTACATACAAGGTTATCCCCATGTTAATGTTCTCATCTAGTCACATTACATACAAGGTTATCCCCATGTTAATGTTCTTATCTAGTCACATTACATACAAGGTTATCCCCATGTTAGTGTTCTCATCTAGTCACATTACATACAAGGTTATCCCCATGTTAATGTTCTCATCTAGTCACATTACATACAAGGTTATCCCCATGTTAGTGTTCTCATCTAGTCACATTACATACAAGGTTATCCCCATGTTAATGTTCTCATCTAGTCACATTACATACAAGGTTATCCCCATGTTAGTGTTCTCATCTAGTCACATTACATACAAGGTTATCCCCATGTTAATGTTCTCATCTAGTCACATTACATACAAGGTTATCCCCATGTTAGTGTTCTCATCTAGTCACATTACATACAAGGTTATCCCCATGTTAATGTTCTCATCTAGTCACATTACATACAAGGTTATCCCCATTCTAATGTTCTCATCTAGTCATATTACATTCAAGGTTATCGCCATTATAATGTTCTCACCTGGTAACATTAAATACAAGGTTATCCCCATGTTAATATTCTCATCTGGTCACATTACATACATGTTTATCCCCATGTTAGTGTTCTCATCTAGTCACATTACATACAAGGTTATCCCCATGTTAATGTTCTCATCTGGTCACATTACATACAAGGTTATCCCCATTCTAATGTTCTCATCTAGTCACATTACATACAAGGTTATCCCCATGTTGGTGTTCTCATCTAGTCAAATAACATTCAAGGTTATACCCATATTAATGTTCTCATCTAGTCACATTACATACAAGAGTATCCCCATGTAGGTGTTCTCATTTAGTCACACTACATACAAGGTTATCCCCATTCTAATGTTCTCATCTAGTCACATTACATACAAGGTTATCCCCATGTTAATGTTCTTATCTAGTCACATTACATACAAGGTTATGCCCATGTTAGTGTTCTCATCTAGTTACATTACATACAAGGTTATCCCTATGTTAATGTTCTCAGCTAGTCACATTACATACAAGGTTATCCCCATGTTAATGTTATCATCTGGTCACATTACATACATGTTTATCCCCATGTTAATGTTATCATCTAGTCACATTACATACAAGGTTATCCCCATGTTAATGTTCTCATCTGGTCACATTACATACAAGGTTATCCCCATGTAAATGTTATCATCTAGTTACATTACATACAAGGTTTTCCCCATGTTAGTGTTCTCATCTAGTCACATTACATACAAGGTTATCTTCATGTTAGTGTTCTCATCTAGTCACATTACATACAAGGTTATCCCCATGTTAATGTTCTTATCTAGTCACATTACATACAAGGTTATGCCCATGTTAGTGTTCTCATCTAGTTACATTACATACAAGGTTATCCCCATGTTAATGTTCTCATCTAGTCACATTACATACAAGGTTATCCCCATGTTAATGTTCTTATCTAGTCACATTACATACAAGGTTATGCCCATGTTAGTGTTCTCATCTAGTCACATTACATACAAGGTTATCCCCATGTTAATGTTCTCATCTAGTCACATTACATACAAGGTTATCCCCATGTTAATGTTCTTATCTAGTCACATTACATACAAGGTTATGCCCATGTTAGTGTTCTCATCTAGTTACATTACATACAAGGTTATCCCCATGTTAATGTTCTCATCTAGTCACATTACATACAAGGTTATCCCCATGTTAATGTTCTTATCTAGTCACATTACATACAAGGTTATGCCCATGTTAGTGTTCTCATCTAGTTACATTACATACAAGGTTATCCCCATGTTAATGTTCTCATCTAGTCACATTACATACAAGGTTATCCCCATGTTAATGTTCTTATCTAGTCACATTACATACAAGGTTATGCCCATGTTAGTGTTCTCATCTAGTTACATTACATACAAGGTTATCCCCATGTTAATGTTCTCATCTAGTCACATTACATACAAGGTTATCCCCATGTTAATGTTCTTATCTAGTCACATTACATACAAGGTTATGCCCATGTTAGTGTTCTCATCTAGTTACATTACATACAAGGTTATCCCCATGTTAATGTTCTCATCTAGTCACATTACATACAAGGTTATCCCCATGTTAATGTTCTTATCTAGTCACATTACATACAAGGTTATGCCCATGTTAGTGTTCTCATCTAGTTACATTACATACAAGGTTATCCCCATGTTAATGTTCTCATCTGGTCACATTACATACAATGTTATCACCATATTAATGTTCTCATCTTGTCACATTACATACAAAGTTATCCCCATGTTAATGTTCTCATCTAGTCATATTACATACAAGGTTATCACCATATTAATGTTCTCATCTAGTCACATTACATACAAGGTTATCACCATGTTAGTGTTCTCATCTAGTCGCATCACATACAAGGTTATCGCCATCCTAATGTTCTCATCTAGTCGCATTACATTCAAGGTTACCCCCATTCTAATGTTCTCATATAGTCGCATTACATACAAGGTTATTGCCATTTTAATGTTCTCATCTGGTCACATTACATACAAGGTTATCCCCATTCTAATGTTCTCATCTGGTCACATTACATACAAGGTTATCCCTATTCTAATGTTCCCATCTAGTCACATTACATACAAGGTTATCCCCATTCTAATGTTCCCATCTGGTCACATTACATACAAGGTAATCCCCATGTTAGTGTTAAGGAAAGTATGTCGATTTCTGTTACCTTAGGGTTAGGGTAATATAGCTACATTGAGCAATTTTACATGTGTCTACACATCGCCTAGTATTTATGTGATACATTGGCCTAGACATGACTCGTGTATAAGATACGCGGCATCTATCTTTGTTCAAAATCTACGACTTAATTAATGTTGCAGATAGAGTAAGAGGATGCTGTGATTTAGATAGCAGCTTACCGGAAGTTACTACATATTGCGATGTTATCTTCACGGACATATACAAAATGGTGTCAAGGGACAACGTATTTAGATGTATAAAGTTCATTCCAATAGCTAATCGCGGTGTAAATATAATCTATATCAACTCCAAGTTCATTGCTTAATCAGTAGCATACCATTAGTAGGTAGAGTAATCAATATCATATACACTTTTGATTTAACCAACGGTATCTAATCGGCAAGAGTCTTTCGTTTTAAAAGAGAAAAGAAATCTAAAATAAACGTCTCGTGTTATGTTGTAGCTAATGAATATTGAAAAAAAATCTCATAAATATAATACTAGTAACGTGTTTGTACATGTTGACCTACTTGGCTCTGTTCTCAGAAGAGAATTGCTGTATATAATACTATTTACGTGTTAGTACATGTTGACCTACTTCGCTCTGTTCTCAGAAGAGATTTGCTGTATATAATACTAGTAACGTGTTTGTACATGTTCACCTACTTGGCTCTGTTCTCAGAAGAGAATTGCTGTATATAATACTAGTAACGTGTTTGTAGATGTTGACCTGCTTGGCTCTGTTCTCAGGAGAGATTTGCTGTATATAATACTAGTAACGTGTTTGTACATGTTGACCTGCTCGGCTCTGTTCTCAGAAGAGAATTGCTGTATATAATACTAATTACGTGTTTATACATGTTGACCTACTTGGCTCTGTTCTCAGAAGAGAATTGCTGTATATAATACTATTTACGTGTTAGTACATGTTGACCTACTTCGCTCTGTTCTCAGAAGAGATTTGCTGTATATAATACTAGTAACGTGTAAGCACATGTTGACCTACTTCGCTCTGTTCTCAGAAGAGATTTGCTGTATATGATACTAGAAACGTGTGTGTACATGTTGACCTACTTCGCTCTGTTCTCAGAAGAGAATTGCTGTATATAATACTAGTAACGTGTTAATACATGTTGACCTGCTTGGCTCTGTTCTCAGAAGAGAATTGCTGTATATAATACTAGTAACGTGTTTGTACATGTTGACCTGCTTGGCTCTGTTCTCAGAATAGATTTGCTGTATATAATACTAGTAACGTGTAAGTACATGTTGACCTGCTTCGCTCTGTTCTCAGAACAGATTTGCTGTATATAATACTAATAACGTGCTTGTACATGTTGACCTGCTTCGGTCTGTTCCCAGAAGAGAATTGCTGTTTTTATTGTCAACACTAGGCTTGTGATTCACTAGTCTAGACTATCTTATAACATAAGCGTGACACGGTTTCGTTGTTCGGTTGAAATCATGGTATGATACTCTGGGGTATTGAAACATCTTTCGTCGATTTGTTTTGATATTTACAAGCGCTGTCACCTGCTGGCGAATAATCTATAAACGTCAGAATTATAACGGTATATCTGTAATGGATAAGTCTAAGTGACTATTTCATCGTTACCGTAACCTTCCATCAAACATGAAGAATATAAATATTGCTAGCAATCCCATATGCGATGAAAACAATTGAATTATTGTCTCAACAGTGCCCTACCTGTTTTAGATTTGAACACTTTTCCATTTCTAAATACGTGTGTTTCAAATATCACACATGCCTTTATTGATCACTATCTATGTATTCATACTCTCGGATCTTTGTTTGTTGTTTACAAGGTGGGAATAGTGAACTGACGATAAAGCTTGAATAATTAAAGAAACGACGAATTTTATGGCGACGATATGGCTGTATTGCGTGTGAATGGTCCATACAGATGAAGCTATATATTTTGGCAGAGCTTGCCACGAAAGCTTACCAAACGATGAAAAACATTGTCAATTACAAAACAGTCGTGTTCAGTCTTAATCGACATGTGTGTCCCATAATGTCAGTGACGACACTGTTTAATTACAAATCAGTACACATATCTGCATCGTGAGCCGATATAACACGTTTGATGTCGACATTTATACATCAGCGTAATCGGAATAGTGTCAATTAGATATTCGTCACTGGTTCAAAACAGAATTGCCATGTTAATCGATGTAGTCTATATTAAGGCACTGATCAGCATTTAGCTACACCCATAGTGTTCCTAGTCTATTTAAGCACTGCCCATCCTTTAGTTGCACCAATTGGAATGCTCGTCTTTATTTAAGCACTTGTCAGCTTTAAGGTACCATCCATATAAATGATCGCCTTTACTAAGCCACTGATAAGCTTGTAGTAACATCAATTGGGATAAGGTAGGCATGGACTTAACCTGCGTCAGCCCAGTGCGATAGAGACGGGTAGGCCAAAGGACACACACAAAACATTTGAAGGCTCAGAACTTGACGATACAAACTAGAATAAACGCGGGTGAACAGGACTGTTCTACAACAGATTATCACGGGACAGTCAGGGTCAGGGTTAGGGTCAGCGTTAGGGTCAGAGTCAGGTTCAGGGTCAGGGTCAGGGTCAGGGTTAGGGTCAGGGTCAGGGTCAGGGTTAGGGTTAGGATGACTTTATCAGATTTACACATCTCAATACACAGGGTTTTGTGTCCAAAACATACAATAAATTGAACAGCGCCTTTTTGTTTAGTTCAATGTAAATGACTTGCCAGAGTTGTTTGTTATGGGTGGGTTAGGGTTAGGGTTAGGGTTAGACCTAATAGACCCTACAATGACACCAAATATAATATATAGTGACTATATCACAATAATCGCTGTTATCTGGTATTAACCTGATCTATGTAATATGAGTTATACTATGAATCCGAAACGTGTAACTAGGAAACCAGATATAAGGGACACATGTTTATAAAACTTAAAATGTTTCCCTGATATATATAAATTTATGAATTTGATAATGTATTAGGTAACAATGGCAGCAGTAGACCCTATAAAAGCAGCAGTAGACCCTACAGTGGTAGCAGTAGACCCTATAATGGGGGCAGTAGACCCTACAATGGTAGCAGTATACCCTATAATAGCAGCAGTAGACCCTACAGTGGTAGCAGTAGACCCTATAATGGGAGCAGTAGACCTTATAATGGGAGCAGTAGACCCTATAATAGCAACAGTAGACCATACAATTGGAGCAGTAGACCCTACAATGGCACCAGTAGACCCTATAAAACCAGCAGTAGACCCTACAATGGTAGCAGTATACCCTATAATAGCAGCAGTAGACCCTACAGTGGTAGCAGTAGACCCTATAATGGGAGCAGTAGACCCTATAATGGGAGCAGTAGACCCTATAATAGCAGCAGTAGACCCTACAATTGGAGCAGTAGACCCTACAATGGCAACAGTAGACCCAATAATGGCAGCAGTAGACCCTACATTGGAAGCATTAGACCCTATAATAGCAGCAGTAGACCCTACAATGGCAGCAGTAGACCCTAAAATGGCAGCAGTGGACCCTACAATGTCAGCAGTAGACCCATAAAATATCAGCAGTAGACCCTAAAATGGCAGCAGTAGACCCTATAATGGCAGCAGTAGACCGTACAATGTCAGCAATAGACCCTACAATGGCAGCAGTAGACCCTACAATGGTGGCAGTATACCCTATAATGGCAGCAGTAGACCCAATAGTGGCAGCAGTACCCCCTAAAATGGCAGCAGTAGACCCTATAATGGCAGCAGTAGACCCTATAATGACAACGGTAGACACTATAATGGGAGCTGTAGACCCTACAATGGCAGCAGTAGACCCTACAATGGCAGCAGTAGACCCTACAATGGCAGCAGTAGACCCTACAATGGCATCAATAGACCCTATTATGTCAGCAGTAAACCCTATAATGGCAACAGTAGACCCAATAATGGCAGCAGTAGACACTACAATGGCAGTAGTTGACCCTACAATGGCAGCAGTAGACCCTATAATGGCAACAGTAGACCCTAAAATGGCAGCAGTAGACACTATAATGGCAGCAGTAGACATTACAATGGCAGCAGTAGACCCTAAAATGGCAGCAGTAGACGCTACAATGTCAGCAGTAGACCCTAAAATGGCAGCAGTAGCCCCTAAAATGGCAGCAGTAGACACTATAATGGCAGCCGTAGACACTACAATGGCAGCAGTAGACCCTAAAATGGCAGCAGTAGACCATACAATGGCAGCAATAGACCCTACAATGTCAGCAGTAGACCCTACAATAGCAGCAGTAGACCCTACAATGTCAGCAGTAGACCCTACAATGGCAGCAGTAGACCCTACAATGGCAGAAGTATACCCTGAAGTGGCAGCAGTAGACCCTCTAATGGCAGCAGTAGACCCAATAATGGCAGCACTAGACCCTACAATGGCAGCAGTAGACCCTATAATGGCAGCAGTATACCCTACAATGGCAGCAATAGACCCTACAATGTCAGCAGTAGACCCTACAATGGTAGCAGTATACCCTATAATGGCAGCAGTAGACCCATTAGTGGCAGCAGTACCCCCTAAAATGTCAGCAGTAGACCCTATAATGGCAACAGTAGACCCTATAATGGCAACGGTAAACCCTATAATGGCAGCTGTAGACCCCACAATGGCAGCAGTAGACCCTACAATGGCAGCAGTAGACCCTACAATGGCATCAACATACCCTAGTATGTCAGCAGTAAACCCTATAATGGCAACAGTAGACCCAATTATGGCAGCAGTAGACCCTACAATGGCAGTAGTTGACCTTACAATGGCAGCAGTATACCCTATAATGGCAGCAGTAGACCCTACAATGTCAACAGGAGATGCTACAATGGCAGCAGTATACCCTACAATGGCAGCAGTAGACCCTACAATGGCAGCTGTAGACACTACAATGGCAGAAATAGACCCTACAATGGCAGCAGTAGACCCTACAATGTTAGCAGTAGACCCTATAATGGCAGCAGTAGACCCTACAATGGCAGCAGTAGACCCTATAATGGCAGCACTAGACCCTACAATGGCAGCAGTATACCATATAATGGCAGCAGTAGACCCTATAATGGCAGCAGTAGACCCTATAATGTCAGCAGTAGACCCTATAATGGGAGCAGTAGACCCTATAATGGCAGCGGTAGACCCTACAATGGTAGCAGTAGACACTACAATGGCAGCAGTATACCCTATAATGGCAGCAGTAGACCCTACAATGTCAGCAATAGACCCTACAATGGGAGCAGTAGACCCTATAATGGCAGCAGTAGACCATATAATGGCAGCGGTAGACCCTACAATGGTAGCAGTATACCATATAATTGCAGCAGTAGACCCTACAATAGCCGCAGTAGACCCTATAATGGCAGCAGTAGACCCTATAATGGCAGCAGTAGACCCTACAATGTCAGCAGTAGACCCTATAATGGGAGCAGTAGACCCTAAAATGGCAGCGGTAGACCCTACAATGGTAGCAGTAGACACTACAATGGCAGCAGTATACCCTATAATGGCAGCAGCAGACCCTATAATGGCAGCAGTAGACCCTACAATGTCAGCGGTAGACCCTACAATGGGAGCAGTAGACCCTATAATGGCAGCAGTAGACCATATAATGGCAGCAGTAGACCCTATAATGGTAGCAGTAGACACTACAATGGCAACAGTAGACCCTATATTGGGAGCAGTAGACCCTACAATGGGAGCATTAGACCCTACAATGGCTGCGGTAGACCCTACAATGGTAGCAATATACCATATAATTGCAGCAGTAGACCCTACAATGGTAGCAGTACACCCTATAATGGCAGCAGTAGACCCTACAATCGTAGCAGTATACCCTATAATGGCAGCAGTAGACCCTACAATGGCAGCAATAGACCCTACAATGGGAGCAGTAGACCCTATAATGGCAGCAGTAGACCCTATAATGGCAGCAGTAGACCCAACAATGGCAGCAATAGACCCTACAATGGCAGCAGTAGACCCTACAATGGTAGCAGTACGCCCTATAATGGCAGCAGTAGACCCTACAATCGGAGCAGTATACCCTATAATGGCAGCAGTAGACCCATTAGTGGCAGCAGTACCCCCTAAAATGTCAGCAGTAGACCCTATAATGGCAACAGTAGACCCTATAATGGCAGCAGTAGACCCTATAATGGCAGCAACAGACCCTATTATGTCAGCAGTAGACCCTACAATTTCAGCAGTAGACCGTACAATGTCAGCAGTAGACCCTACAATGGCAGCAATAGACCATACAATGGCAGCAGTAGACCCTACAATGGCAGCAATAGACCATACAATGGCAGCAGTAGACCCTACAATGGCAGCAATAGACCCTATTATGTCAGCAGTAAACCCTACAATGTCAGCAGTAGACCCTTCAATGGCAGCAGTAGACCCAATAATGGCAGCAGTAGACCCTATAATGGCAACGGTAGACCCTATAAGGGCAGCAGTAGACCCTACAATGGCAGCAATAGACCATACAATGGCAGCAGTAGACCCTACAATGGCAGCAGTAGGCCCTACAATGGCAGCAGTAGACCCTATAATGGCAGCAATAGACCCAGTAATGGCAGCAGTAGACCCTACAATGGTAGCAATAGACCCTATAATGGCAGAAGTATACCCTATAATGGCAGCAATAGACCCTAAAATGGCAGCAGTAGATCGTATAATGGCAGCAGTAGACCCTACAATGGCAGCAATAGACCCTATTATGGCAGCAGTAAACCCTACAATGTCAGCAGTAGACCCTTCAATGGCAGCAGTAGACCCAATCATGGCAGCAGTAGACCCTATAATGGCAACGGTAGACCCTATAATGGCAGCAATAGACCCTACAATGGCAGCAATAGACCCTACAATGGTAGCAGTAGACCCTATAATGTCAGCAGTAGACCCTATAATGGCAGCAATAGACCCAGTAATGGCAGCCGTAGACCCTACAATGGTAGCAATAGACCCTATAATGGCAGAAGAATACCCTATAATGGCAGCAATAGACCCTACAATGGCAGCAGTAGACCCTATAGTTGCAGCAGTAGACCCTATAATGGCAGCAGTAGACCCAACAATGGCAGCAATATACCCTACAATGGCAGCGTTAGCCCGTACAATGTCAGCAGTAGACCCTACAATGGCAGCAATACACCCTATAATGGCAGCAATAGACCATACAATGGCAGCAGTAGACCCTACAATGGCAGCAGTAGAACCTACAATGGCAGCAGTAGACCCTATAATGGCAGCAGTAGTCCCTATAATGGCAACGGTAGACCCTATAATGGCAGCAGTAGACCCTACAATGCCAGCAGTAGACCCTACAATGGTAGCAGTAGACCCTATAATGGCAGCAGTAGACCCAACAATGGCAGCAATATCCCCTACAATGGCAGCGTTAGACCGTACAATGTCAGCAGTAGACCCTACAATGGCAGCAATAGACCCAATAATGGCAGCAGTAGACCCAACAATGGCAGCAATATACCCTACAATGGCAGCGTTAGACCGTACAATGTCAGCAGTAGACCCTACAATGGCAGCAATAGACCCAAAAATGGCAGCAGTAGACCCAACAATGGCAGCAGTAGACCCTACAATGGCAGCAGCAGACCCTACAATGGCAGCAGGAGACCCTACAATGGCAGCAATAGACCCAAAAATGGCAGCAGTAGACCCAACAATGGCAGCAATAGACCCTATAATGGCAACGGTAGACCCTACAATGGCAGCAATAGACCCTACAATGGCAGCAGTAGACCCTATAATGGCAGCAATAGACCATACAATGGCAGCAATAGACCCTACAATGGCAGCGTTAGACCGTACAATGTCAGCAGGAGACCCTACAATGGCAGCAATAGACCCTATAAAGGCAGCAATAGACCATACAATGGCAGCAATAGACCCTACAATGGTAGCAGTAGACCCTATAATGTCAGCACTAGACCCTATAATGGCAGCAATAGACCCAGTAATGGCAGCAGTAGACCCTACCATGGCAGCAGTAGACCCTATAATGGCAGAAGTAGACCCTATAATGGCAGCAATAGACCCAATAATGGCAGCAGTAGACCCTATAATGGCAGCAGTAGACCCAACAATGGCAGCAGTAGACCCTATAATGGCAACGGTAGACCCTATAATGGCAGAAATAGACCCTACAATGGCAGAAGTATACCCTGAAGTGGCAGCAGTAGACCCTCTAATGGCAGCAGTAGACCCAAAAATGGCAGCAGTAGACCCTATTATGTCAGCAGTAGACCCTACAATGTCAGCAGTAGACCCTACAATGTCAGCAGTAGACCGTACAATGTCAGCAGTAGACCCTACAATGGCAGCAATAGGGAGACCATACAATTGGAGCAGTAGACCCTACAATGGCAGCAATAGGGAGACCATACAATTGGAGCAGTAGACCCTACAATGGTAGCAGTAGACCCTATAATGGCAACAGTAGACCCTATAATGGCAGCAGTAGACCCTACAATGGCAGCAATAGACCCTACAATGGCAGAAGTAGACCATATAATGTCAGCAGTAGACCCTATAATAAGGTAATGAATGTCAACTAAGCCGATTTATTCCCTGGTAAGGTTATGAATATCAACTAAGCCGAACTATTCTCTGGTAAGGTAATGATTATCAACTAAGCCGAACTATTCCCTGGTAAGGTAATGAATATCAACTAAGCCGAACTATTCCCTGGTAAGGTAATGAATATCAACTAAGCCAAACTATTCCCTGGTAAGGTAATGAATATCAAGTAAGCCGAACTATTCCCTGGTAAGGTTATGAATGTCAACTAAGCCGAACTATTCCCTGGTAAGGTAATGAATATCAACTAAGCCGAACTATTCCCTGGTAAGGTAATGAATATCAACTAAGCCGAACTATTCCCTGGTAAGGTAATGTGTGTGAAACATGTTTTTTATAAAAATTGTTGGATATATTCAGATTAGAAAAAATGTCTTTAAAAATGCAGTCAGAAAATGTCGAATAAACTGTGATCGGGAAAAGACAAGCAAATGCTAACTGCAGACGCAAATCGTGTAAAAGAGTACATGGAACAGTTAAAGAAATCATGTAAAGCCACAACGAGAAAGATAAATACAAATGAATTAAACAAATCAAAGATCATTATTGCGTATAACGAGAGATATGAGAATAACTAAAGTGGTGTGTGACAGCCTGAATGTTTAAATCAGCATTTAAGTTGTTATAATCACCCGCATGATTGAATATACTTTTTTCCCCAGATATATAAGCCTAAAATTAAAGTTTGCTATCAATATTTAAAATAATAATAATGGAGTATCGGAGGAGTTAATATGTATGACAGGGGTGAGGCAAGTTGCAAGTCTTGTACTTTTTTATTCGCAATGTATGTAAATGATCTGGTGAAGAAACTGATTTAGAAAGGGTTTGAGGGTGTATCAATTAGCACCTTCTGCTTTATGCTGCGTAAAACCTTAATCGCAGAGACAGCCGCTAGTATAGAGACGGGACTTGATATTTAGTTTGATCAGAGACATGGAAAATGACGGGAAATGTGGTTACAACAAAGTAATAGGGTTTCGCAGGGGAGGAAGGCTAAACGATTCCTGACATTTTTTCCTTGGTGTCCAGGCGATCGAAATAGTTAACGATTCCTCTACGAAGGTGTTGTGTGTGGGTTCGGGAAGTCAAACACCATTAGCGGAATTAGACTCCAAGGCACTATTTCTATTGGAAAATTGACCAAGAGAGTTTAGGAGACTGAGTCTTAAACACGTGTGTAATTTTTTGATAAACTAGTCAGTCCAGTTCTATGTTATGGGAGCGAGGTGTTGGGTTTCTATACTGCTATTGCTATTGAGTGGTTACATTTAAAGTTATGTAAATGGTTAATGGGTGTCAAATCTGCCACACAGAATACAGACCCGTACACGTTCGCTGTTCCACTTTCAGCGTACCGTTTTCGTAGCATTTCCGTACCGTTTGCGTAGCATCTCCGTACCGTTTGCGTAGCACTTGCGTATCACTTGCGTAGCATTTCCGTCCCGTTTGCGTAGCACTTGCGTGTCACATGCGTAGCATTTCCGTAGTACTTCCGTACCATTACCGTAGCATTTCCGTAGCACTTGCGTAGCGTTTCCGTAGCACTGCCGTATCGTTTACCCCCCCCCCCCCCCCACACACACACACAAATGAAGGTTTACACATACATGTACGTAACAGCCCTCCTCCCATAGGCCTACTGTGTGTTCCCCACACCAGCATCTAGGCCTTAGGGGTAATTTAAATAATAGGCATACAGCTGGCCATGTGATAATGACCTGTCCCTTGTTTAAGGTATAAACAAGTTTAGTGTCCGTTATAAAGGTTGTTAGGGCAACATGACCACCCGCTGACAGATACATTTCTTTCAATATGATATCTATATATATACCTGAGAATCTAGGCAGTGATAATGCATTGACCTGTGGTCACATTGGATTCTGATGTGCTGTACCTGATCAAGGTCACATTCTGTGATTTCAAGTCAATTAAGCCCATGTCAATTACTCCAGTTCATTGTCTATCCGTATACATCCGTAAAAATCCAGGTTTATACTTAAGCCGTGATAAAATGATGGATGGTGTTGTAAATGCTATAGAAGTATTGTCATGTGTACAGTTTTCAGAACTAAGCATTGAAGACCAGTGCAGCTTTTTGCTTGGCGATCATTCACATGTATACTTTACTGATATAAGGTGGGAAACAATAATGATAAATATGGCTGGAAATATCAAAGGAATGGTATGTGAGATGGAGAGTTTTCTATGATTAACCTATTGATGTATATATACGTGTATACGTATATATGTAAAAGATGTATGAGGAATAGGTACTGTCGTGAACATTTTGTATTATGAATTATATAACGCAGTTATATCAATGTCAAATACGTCATTATTTAATACATTTACTTCTCAAAACTATGTTTATATATAAATTAAGACACATTTTTTAAAACTGTTTTGACATGAAATCTCCTAAAGGAGGAAATAAAGAATGTCTGTCTGTCTGTCTGTATACAGGTAAATCAGTTCAAGGTAAAAACCTACAGGTAAGATACTTTGGCTGCCCCTCGATCAGGAAATGACAGCCCCAGGCACAATTTCATTTCACAACAGTGCCTTAACCAAGGTAAACTAATATTTGGAACTTGGAATTCCTAATTTAATAATAAAAAATGTCCCTTATTAGGATATTTAACTTCTCACGTAGATGATTTGTTTTAAAACTAATCTAATTTTTTTTTAAATAATTTATCATGAGTTCTGTTATCAGCGAGCAAGGTTGAATACTAATCCTAATACGTAACAAACTTTTTATATCAGATTATTGAAAATGATGATATTTTTCAGTAATCATTTAAAAAAATCATTATGAAGATAACTTTATTGTCATCATGTGACTGAGTTCCTGAGAAAATAGAGTGTGATTCCTTGTTGTCTATAGCAGAGACGTATATATTAC